GGGGAGTGATTGGCCGGCGGGCAGTGGCGCTTTTTTGTGCTGTGAGGGGCTTCGCTGCCGCCCTCAGCGCCGCCGCGCTCTGAGGGGGCAGCGGGCGCTACGCGGCGGTTTCCTCTCTGTAATAAAGTTCTCGGGGGATATGCCGGTGCTTACGTGTGTTTCCGGGGGCGAGGTCTCACTCACGCACCGAGAAAAAGGCACCTGGAAGGGGGTTATATTTTTTTCTCTGGCTTGTCTGACTAGACAGGAGACAGGAGAGCTGTGAGGTAATGGCACAGTCCTCAATGGAGGCTGTTGCATTCTTGTATTGGAAAAAAAAAATTAAAAACCACCCTTTATTTGTTATTTCTATATTACTTAGCAGTACAGAAGTGACTAGTGTGTGTTCCCAGTTGCTTGTTCTATAGGGAGTCATTCCCCGTTTTTAATCATTATTTCACTTTGCTTTGCTGAATTCTATGTAATTTCTGGGTTGGCAAGACCAAAACTGCATGTTCTAGATGGGTTAGTGTAGATTAATTTATGTAAAGCATGAAAAAGTTTGGGGTTTTTTTACATGTAAGCCCACAAAGAAAATACTTTTGTCTGCCCTTGAGTATTAAGACAATGTTTTCAGACAACTGTCATTTAGAGATCTTGGTTTTTGTTGGTAATAGTCATCCAATAACCCATCACTGTATGTATCATTAAGAAAGCTTTTTCCCTGCATGCATTTATCACATCTTTCTTAAAAGATATAATCTACCATTTGGTAACGAGGCCTTTCAGGAGTTCTGCTGTTGACTTGCCTATCCTGAATAACCTGATGATGGCCGTATAATTGACCATCTTCATGCTCTTGTTCTCACTGAGAAGTATTGAGAGCCCACTGCAGGACCTCCATTGCCAGAGTTGATTAATCCTTCCACTCTTTTATGTTAAGCAATTTTTTTATCCATGTAGGGATGTTTACTTCTATCCCCAGTTAGTTTAATTTCTTAAACACTACTTATACTAATGACAAACTTTTGAATTTGTAATGTATTTTGACTGAATACTGATGTGTGTGCAAAACCTATTTGAAGTCTATGTCAGTGAATTGTTTTGGTTCAGTGATGATTGTTTCCTTTTCCAGCTGGGTAGGTGAATTGCAAAAATGGCAGCTAAGAATGAGATGCAGGTATGTGTTATTGGTTGTTTTTGTTACTAGCTTAAAGCACTCCTTCTGGTATTTAATTCCAAGCAGAATTTACAGTGTGGCAAAGAATGTGGTAGGAAGAAATTTTCCTTTGACATAGGTAAGTGCTAAGTAGCTGGGTAGAAAGCAAGAAGAATTGAAAATACATACATGCATCAGTTGGGATGATACTTAAGATCAAAATGTTGAAATCTGGTTATAATTGATTTAGAAAGAATAGAGTGGCAAAATAGTTGAGGAAGGCAGTAGTCCTCATCTATTACTGTCTTTTAAAGTCACTAATAGTTAACTTAGGAATGCAGAGTATTAAATGTACTAAGGAAGGAGTATTAACACAATGCATACTTATGGCAGCATTTATTTGTAATATGAGGAAAGACAAACTGTTCAGTTAAGGAAAACTGGCAAATAATAAAAGCTCTAAGTATTTTTATAATAAATGTATTAGATATAGTGTTTTGTACTTTAGGCTTTACATTTAATGATTTTGTGATTCAGAATATTTTCTTAGAATGAAATAGATGATTGCGTAAAACCTTTGTTAAATCTTGTTAAATCAGTATTGGTTTCAAGCATCAGTGATACAGTTGCTCTATCTGTTGTTGACAGCTGGAAAAATTAATTGATGAAGCTACACGAAAAAAAGATTTCCAGTTATTAGAACAATATCTAGCAACAGAAGACTGTGAAAATGTCTCTCACAAATGCAGCAAACAGTTTGTCAACAAATTAGACAAGCTTCTGTGTCAGGTAATGTAATCTTTACATCAGAATCATCTATACTGTCATTGTAACAGTCTGGAAAAGATTTTTTTCATTTGGCTTGGTTTATACCAGCAGTTGATTTGAAAACTTAAATAAAATTTAAGAATGAAATCTCTACCTCAAGCTGCAATTAAGGTGACTTTTGAGAGCAAAAGGCATCTCATTAATTAAATACAGTTTCTTCTAGAACTGTATGCTAAAGCTTATGTTATAATTTCAATTTCAGGAACTTGACAAACAAGAAGTCAAAAGCATTTCCATTTTACTGAATTCTATTCAGAAATGTGGGGAAAAAATCAGCATAGCAGGAGAAGATGGGCTCCCAGCAATGATAAAATATGGTCTTATTGGAAAGATAAGTAAAACCATAAAGCATATATGAATGTCTAAATTTTTTTTACATTAATAAAGCATGCATAAGTAATGCTCCAGTATTCAATTTGGTCCTTGATTGTTTCTGAATTTAAAAAAATAAAAGTGTGTTTATAACTTCATGCTTATATTCCCACCTACAAACCCACTTTTTCATTCAACCATTATCCATTTTCAGCTCTTTTGTCTGTGATGGCATTTGGAAAAGTAGATTTCTAGTTTTAGTGTTAGAAAGTCAGCTACAGAAATAATTTACATTAGTTTGAAATCACCTACATTTGTTTAGTGTGAGTGAAAATTTCAGTCTGGGGCTAAAGTACACTCATCAGACTGGTAACATGGTTGCTGTTGTTTTAATCTTTGTACAGTTTACATTATTTTACATAAGGATAATACAAACTATTGTCCTTTTTCACGTTATTAAAATAAATTTACTTTTATTTTCCCTTTACATGGTTAATTGGTTTGAAAAGATAAAAGGAATTTTGATCCTTGGAGGAAATGAAAAGAATGAAATGCTTACAACTCTGGCTGAAGATTTCTTCAGCACATTGCTGGTAAAAATATATTGATAATAAAACACATTGTGTGTATTTGTCAAATTAATTATTACTAGTTTAGCAACAAAAAGACTTTAAAATGTGTTTCTATTTAATATTCTTCCAAAGTTAATGTTACAATGATTTCTGAAATAGATTATAAGTCTTTTTGGATAAATAGTTTGCATGTATTCATACTCGTTTTCTGTTCATCATGAAATAAAATTTACAAATCCAACAACGTAAGTGTTCAATGAACAACCAAAAAATTAATCTTGGTCTAATTTTGATTACATGAATTACTGGTATGCTAATCCCAAGACCCCGATTTTATATTATCTGTGAGTTTTCTTCTGTTCATAAATTTTTTTGTCATTGGGGAAATAATTTCCATCAATTTGACTGAAATATAAGTTTGGGAAACCACATTTGATATTAGAAGTCTGTTGTGTCCTTCATTAAAGATGAAGTCATTTTAAAATCTTAAATGCTTTTTGATTACTTGCTTTAGCTACATTACCTGATTTTTATGCTGTAATATTTACAGTGTCAAAATGACATGTTTTGGTTTTTGTTGTAGGCTATCTGTGATAGCAGACCAGAAGGTGAGCTTAAAATGTGTACACTAGATATGATAGTTAGTGTTCTGCAAGAGGCATTTTAAAGGTACCAGTGTTAAAATAACTCTTACTACTTGTGGAGCCATCCTGAGGCAAAATAGTTCTGAGAAGAACATGTATAATGAGGATGGTACAAAGTTTCTTGATCTAATGTAAATATACCACCAGATCTATATGCTTCAGGTAATAAACTGTAACAAAGAGGGGCTTATCCTCAAGAGGGCTGTTCTGTGCACAAAGGACTGACTACATTTCTCATTCATGTCAAAAAAGCTTTGAATGTCAGCTGTAACTTTGGTTGTTTAACTTGAGATTCCTCTACTGACAGATTTCCTTCCAACTTGCTGATGTCAGTCATAAAAATGCAGAACAGTCTGGTCTCCTCAGAAATGGCAACTGAACTGAGTTTGTCCTAAAAAGACCATTGTCTAAGCTACTGTCACAGCTCAGCGTAGCGCAGGATCCTTCCTTACGGACCTTGTTCTCACGGGGATCAGGCTGCTCTTACTTTCAGTAGAGCACTAGGTCGAAAGTCACTACAGACCATTATGCTGTGGTGTTCAAAATGAAAGATTCATTTCCTTCTCCCTGGGAAGATAAATTCCAGGGTCTGAGTTATATCTGAGAGAGCTAAGTTATGGAATTGATCCGACTATATTTTAAAAGTAATGGCCTCATGCCCTCATAAGGGGACTTCTGCAGTGATGCACAGGAATAGAAACATAAAGAGCCATATTTACTATCAATTGAAGTAACTGTTCTGTCTTGCATTTAACCATGAATTTAAGTTGTTTATTTTTAAATATCAATAATCCTATATGTGAAGGAAGGCATAATATATTTTATTTCTAAATGAAAATGAATCTTTTTTTTCCAAATGCTGATGAGGGGGCACCCTAATACACTCTTGATAACTCTTTAATTTTTTTTTCATGTTCATTAGGTAAAATGCAAATACTAGAAAACTTTGTTCTGAGAACCTGTACCCTCATTGCTGATATAAGAATCAGTATTTATGTTCCGCAGGAGGTAAACATTCTTCTTTCTAAGCAACAGTTTTCTGATTAATGTTTTAACAGACTTTGTGAAGATAGTAATTTAACTGTACAGATGCTACAAAAGAGAATATTGTAGTGCTCTAGTATCAGAAGGATGATTTAATGCCTCTCTGGGAGTGTTTGTTGTTGTTTATATGTTGGGATGGGGTTTTTTCAGATTACTGACCTATAATTTTTGTTTTGGACAGTAAATTATAAAACAGTGGTCTTAAGATTCTGGTGAGAAAGCTGTATAAAAGTGTAGGAAATAATATACTCTATTGCAGCTTTTATCAATAGTAGCAAGATTGTTGGTTGTAAATTCTTTAAATACTTGCAGGAAATGTGTATACTTTCTAGTGTACTGCAGTTTCTCCTATTTCTCTTAGTTACCTCGGATTGTCAGGTTTCTTTTCCCCTCTAAAGAAAGGGAAAGTTACAAAAAGTCTTCTGTAAATGCTATATCCCCAAAGGAAAGGCCCTTTAATGCAAATTTAAGGTACACTTTAGCTCAGCAATCAACTGCACACAGAACTCTGGCTTTGAAAGTTTATTTTCTATATTTAAACCTGCAAAGAAGAAACACAACCCTTTAACAACTGATGTTCACATTAAAGCTAATGTAAAACTGAGGTATTTATATTAAGATAAATACCATCTAAGGTCTGATAGAACTCATTGTCTTTTCTTATTTTGTAATTATTTAAGTATGTTACTTTCTTTAGTGGTATGAAATATATTGGAAGGACCCAAAATAAGAATAACTTAAACTTTAACAACTTATTTTATGTTTAATCTTACTCCCTTTTTTCCACTCTTGTTAGGTAGTAAGAAAACTTAATTTGATGCTTGACAACATGCCTCGAGATGCCAGGAAAAAGATCTTTTCTACAAAGGAAATGTTGCTTGTCATGTAAATAATCTTCAGTATAATTTTTCTATCATTACATCATTTGCATAGCTGGGAAAACAGTTTTTACTAAGGCTGTTTATAATGCGTGCACATTGGTCCCTGTTTAACTCACTTTTGCATTTGCTGTTGTGTTGCCAGTGGTAGTGGCTGTGGGCAGGTATTCTCATGGGTTATTCTCCATTACAAGCTGATCTGGGCTAGGCTTCTTCTCATCCTAGTTGTCTCAAACTTTTCTTATAAGAATGTGTGTAAAGCACAGGGAATCAGCCAGTGAACACACAAGCTATTCACATTGGGGAATTTTTTTACAGCGTTTAAAAAAAATAAATAGAATAAAAATTAAATACATCAGGTGATTCACTTCCCCAGCAGTACTTTCAGGTGTATATCCTTAGCATATCACACTTACCCCTTCGAAGTCTAATAGCTTAGTGAACCCTAATAGCTTAGGGTTTGTCTCATATGTTGAAAGCTTGTAATTAAATCAACTTTTATTCTGTGCTTTGTGTTGCTGTCATATTTTGGTGAAACTTTACTTTTGTTTGGCAGGAGTGACATGGGGAAGAGAATTTTGGATGCTGGAGGTGAGCGTGGGAATTAATAAACAATTTAGTATTGAGCTCTTTAAAAATTACAGGTAGACGGATTAAAAATCCAGAGACATTTATAAGCTTCAGAATGTTGCAATTACTTGGAAAATACAAACACTGCATGGAAATAATCTCCAAACTGGAATGTTTCAGATGTATGCAGCGTATGACCAACTATTTGTAGTTTTCAGTCCTTCTCTAGAATATAAGTTTTAAAATAGCAAAAGCTCCTAAGGAAGTTAGTCTTTGAGGATAGTGAACTGCTAGCCATGTTTAGCAGCACTATAGCTTCTGTCAAGGATCAGTCTGCTATCCAACAATTTCCCAGTTCAAACAGGTGAAAGTTGAATCTTCTCTCTTGCTTGTGTGACTAATGTCGCTCTGACATTCCTTGAAAGTTTGATTGAAATTTAATTTTGAAACATAAGTTGTTTAGTCATCTTTCTTCTCTTAGTTCTTTATTTATCTGTCCTTTCTGGGTTACATATTTAGATAAAATGTGCTATGTAATATGAAATGTTCAACACTGCTTATACCAGTTTCCTGCATAATATTTTTTTTTTTTCACATCACTAGTATTTTTAAAACTACTATTCCTGTAAAATGTATTGTGCTGTAGACTATGACGTGCAGGTAGCCATTACAGAAGCTTTATGCAGAATGATGTCGGAGAAACAAAGAGGAGAACTGGCGTGCCAGTGGTTTTCCATGGAGTTTGTGTCCAATGCATTTAAAGGAATTAAAGATTCTGAGTTTGAAACAGTAAGTCATATGAAAAAGATTTCCATGGAGGTAAACTTTCCGTTTACAATTCTTTAAGAAATTTCTGTGTTTTAACAGGATTGCAGAAAATTTCTTAACCAAGTGAATGGCATGCTTGGAGACAAAAGAAGGTAAAAATGACTTTTTTAAAGGTAGTATCTTTTCTTTTTTAGATCCTATGACTATTCATCAGGAGTAACCTTTGTATCACAAAAACTGTTTTTAGGAAACTCTGAATTAAAATAATACAAGGAAATAGGACTAATTGTTGTGGTATAAAGTCAAGGAACCACACAGAGTTAAGATATTTTTTAAATATTCAATAATAAAGAAATTGTTAATACCATCCTTTGGCACTTTTTCACTGGTGTTATCTTCTCTATCAGAGTGTTAATCTTATGTAATTCCCATATTTGGAAAAAAGACAAGTATAATGTAAGTTTCAGATGATTGGATGACTGCTTGAAGAAACTGTTCATTAAATAAAGAACATTGATTCAAAAAGATTCTTAAAGAATGTAAAGCATATGCTACACTTCCTTTAAAAATGTTTATAAGGAGTGAGTTTTTGTATTCTATTTAGTTCTGTTGTAAAATCCTGAGATGCTCATTAATTCAATAAACGTATCATCTAACAATGGCTAGTAATTTGTTGGTATATATTCCTTTATTTATTGGTTTAGGATATTTACACTGAGATTATGATCAATGAGAATATCAGATAGAGCAATAGGACACCAAAAGGAAGAGAATATATGAGCTTTATTCTTATCTATCTGATCACATGCTCTGCATGTTATTTTTATATGTCATGACAGTAAAGAGATTGTCTGGTGTGTCTTTATATCAGATGTATATTCAGTTTGAATACCATTCTTAAAATATCAGCAGATAAACTAGAGGTGTGAATGTGGTGACAGGAGGTCTGAGACCACTGCTTTAATTGTGAGGATATATAAAATTTCATGTTACCTCCTTTGGGGAAGAAGTGCGGTCAAGTGATTGCTCTTGTGATTGCTGTGATCTCTTAGTCTCTAAAGCACACAAGTTTTGTGCTGAAAACACAATCCAGTTGCTGTGTTCAGATAATGCAGAATTTATTCACAGCATTTTAGGATATTTAACAAAATATCCTTTTCTTACAGGGTTTTTACATATCCATGTTTATCAGCAGCTCTTGATAAATATGAGGTAAGTTACAGGCTTCATCATATATTCATAGATTTTCATTTTTGCAGCTGGAGAATTTCTTTGCCTTCTAGTTAAGAAAAAAATGAGGATCAAGTAAGAACTTTTTTCCACCAGAAATATACAGACGTGCATGTATTAAAGTTTGCCAGACTAACACAAAGCCTGGTAGCTGGTATAAGTCATTGCTCTCAGCTCTTACTCTTTTATCTTTTTTTGTTTGTTTGTTTTAGCTCCAGATACCATTGGATGAAAATCTTGAAGAATTCTGGATTGATTTCAATGTTGGTAGCAGAAGTATATCTTTCTATGTTGCAGCAGATGATGCAGTAAGCTATTTTTTATCTATCATACTAGATTGTTCTAAGGCAGGAGATACACATTTTTTCAAGTGTATCAAATTTGTTTCCCCACATCAGCATGTGGAAGTTATGTGTGCATCTATAATGTGAACAGGAGAAAAAAAATCTAGATTTGGTGTACATATTTATATCAAACAACTTCAAAGTAATGACTTTCTAATACTGCTTGAGAACAGTTTAACATATGCAGTCGTGAACAAGAAGCCAATTACAAAATTGCAGTTATAATTTTTATAGGTGAGACTCAACTGTTTAAATTAATGTCTCTATCAAAGCTCTTCTGAAACATAATTGTCTGTTACCAATGAAGCATATGTTCATTGTCACTCCTTGCAACAGAGGATTTTAAAATTTGAAAATTTTTCCTTACTGAATAACTTTCTGGTCACTGCACTTCAATTAATTGTAATATAATGCTTTTCTAGCTTTAAAAATATGTGTTTTTCATAAAAGGGTCAGCAGTGGGAAACAGTCATTATACCAGAAGAGGAGGTAGACCAGTACAGCATTGAAGGTATTGGCACTCAAAAACATGACCTTTTGTTACACACTAACTTGGATTTTCAAATTGATTAATCCTGAAGTACTGACCCGATTCTCAGCAAAGCAAAATTCCCACTTAACATGTAATAGGAACTGATTTTATCAGGGATAAAATTGCACTGCACTCATGTTTACATTTTAGGCATGCAGGTATGATTTTATTAGAATAATTTTAAAATAATGGCTTAGTTATTTCAATGCAAATGGCATTTAATAATGTTTCTTTTAAACTAGTTAATTTTGTAAATACCTATAATTTGTCTGCAGCTATAGTAAATAACCTTCAAAGAAAATTCTACAGGATAATATACAGAATAAGTATTTCTAAAAGATTTAATCTTTAATTGTTTCACTAATAAAATTTATTGTATATTAGAGTGAATGAAATAAAATATGCATCTTAATAGCTGAACTGAAGAATACAAGTTTCATGTATTTACAAACATTATATGAGATGCTCAATTTTAATTAAACTACTTTTCAAATTTTATTTTTTTTTTCCAGAAAAAGATTCAAAGAAACTATTAACAATAGATCTGAAAAGCCCAATGAATGTGGGTAATCAAGAAGGAGAGAAATTTTTTTTATATTTTGATTCTATCTTGGAAATCAAAGATGTAATCAGAAAGATTTATGGATTTAGTAAATGTAAGGTAAGATTTAAACACTTTCTTGAATAGTTTTTAATTGATTCAAAATAAATGTCTCATTGTTACAGCTGTGATTGTTGGTATCTATACCGAGAGTTTCTGATGAACATCACTGCTACAGAGCAGCATTTGTCCCATAAGATGTTAAGCTTTGGTAAAGATGCCTAATTAAGGACAAGAGGAAAAGGCCTCAAGTTGCACCAGGGCAGGTTTAGGTTGGATATTGGGAAGAATTTCCTCACTGAAAGAGTTGTCAAGCACTGGAACAGGCTGCTCAGGAAAGCAGTGGAGTCACCATCCCTGGAGGTATTTTAAAAGATGCGTAGATGTAGTGCTTATGGACATGGTAGAGTGGTGGACTTGGCAGTGTCAGGTTTATGGTTGGACTCAAAAAGCTCTTTTCCAACCTAAATGATTCTATGATTCTAAGATGTAAAATTAATTGTGACAAGAATTAACTGACTGGCAAGGAATCACAATAGCTTAATGTCAAGTTTTGCATGTATAATTTTCTAGAAACACAAGAACTGGATGCTTATAAATATGGAAGTCTTTCAGAAATTATTTATTAGCTATCTCATTTTGCAGTACAATTACCACTTTTTTGAATTTAGTAATTTAGTAAAAAAATAATTTAGTTGTTTAGCAAGCCCTAGCTTACTCCTTACTGCTTGTAAGAAACTACTTTGCCCTGAACTCTGAGGAACTCTTGAGGAATGGAACTTCTATGAGCTTGTAGAATCCATTTTGCCCTGTAACTTGATTTCAGACACTTATGATCTCTGACTTAAATATTTTCTTTTTATTTCTTGTTTAAAAAGAGTGTGTAAAATGTATATTTTACATAGATGGTTACTCACTTTGTAGGGCTTTAGTAAGAAGCAGTCTGCATCAGTTGCCAAAACAACTGTACATGTAATCTTTGATGAAAGCGGATCACAGGTATTTTACTTCAGTATGCTGAGATGACTGTTTTCTTGTTTTGTGTATTTAGTCTGATAACTAATTTATGATCATTCACCATAAAAACAGGGACTTTTAAAATGCCGATAAGTAAAGATAACTCTAGAACCGGTTAAGTGATTTCCAGTAAAGATGTATTGTATATTTGGGGAGATAATAATATTAATATCCAAGTCATAGAATACTTCAGACAGATGTACACAAGAGACGTTATTTTCTGTGAATTGTGATTGGGTAACCCATCCTTGTTAGTGAAAATAACAGTTAGGTTGGATGCTTTTCAAACTAAAATTATATAAGCTCTGAAGTTTGTCAAAATCTACACTGATAAATGTGTTACTTAGGGTTAAGTAGTTTCTCTGTGTATGTTTGTATAAATATAAAATATAATAAAATCCAAATATTTAATTAAAAAAAATTAAAATCCAAAATACTATATAGGTTCTGGTACCAGAAAGTCAGTTGTCACCATGTTTGGAAGACAAATGTGAAGAGGAGAAACTCAGTAAGTACAAAACACAGCAACTTCCTGGAACTTTGAGGACTCTGAATAAAAATAACAATAATCAAGAAAAAGGCGGAGATAGTTCCTCCAAGGTAAGTAGGATTATCAAAACAGAAAAAGAATACATTAAAAATACAAGTTAATTTAAATATTTCTAATATTTTATAATATAAAAACACTGTTATTTTACAGTTGGAATATAATTAATGCAGGGTATGATTGTTTTTCTTATGACTTTACACTAAGCTATGTAAATCACTTTGCAAAAAATTTTCTTAATATTATGTATTTCAAAACTATAACATTGTGACAAAAATAAAAAGTAATTGTTCATGTTCTGTAGACCATTATGCTCTGAGAGTTCTCTTTAAAGAGAAATGTTGTCAAAACATGCTTAGATCTCTTATGATATGCAAAAGTCTAGTGTGGCCTCTGGAGATTTACTGACAATCAGCAATAGTAACAGCTGAAATTAGAAACAAGTCTTAATTAGGTTTGGCATTCACAAAGGCTGATGATTACAAAAAGAGCACGTGGTTATCAAGATGAATCCTGTATCCTGGTTATTCAAATCACAATTTCATGGGACTGCTTCTGTGCATAGCTGATTCTCTGGTTTAAACTGAGGGCCAATTCATTAAGCCTAGTGCGTGTTTCTTTTACCCTACAATCTCTTTAGAGTTATAAACACATTATGGTTATAGCAGGACTACTTACAGATGTGCTAGGGATGGGGGAAGAGATGAAGTAGTGTCACCAAGTCTTCATTGTGCAACAGCCATGCATTGCCTGTCTCGCTAGCCTGTCTAGTAAACATGTTCCTTGGGCTCTGCTGGTTTATAGCTTATGTGATCACTTTGCAAAAACTCCTGGTAATCATCTTGGTTACTTTGATTGTTAACAAGGGACAGGATTTGTTACTGAATTAATTTAGAAAACAACAATCACTGATCTCAGTTTAAAAACATGAGTTTTCATTATTATATAATTCAAGTGCTTTGGTGAACTTTTTCTAAAAAGGGAACTGCATAAAAATTACATTCCATTGACGCGTGCAGCAACAGCAGTTGACATTCCAATAACAGAAAGTGTCAAAAGACTTTTGGGAATAGATTTTCTGAAATCTTGTCTTGTCATCCTTAAATCTGTGTATTATGGGCAAGTTTTTTTCTGTCCCTCAAGACAACTACATCTTGTAAAAGGAAGGTGTCTGAAGCGTCTGTGCTTATTCCTGGAACTACAAGATTTTCCACAAGGAGTCCACTGCAATTTGTTACTGCATGTAAGTTTACAAATACTTTAATGGTGAAAATATGCTGCAAATGTCTCTGAAATAACAAGCATGAACTGTGATCCTTTGCAGAGCTGGAAGTGAAAAGTAGACCTTCTAAAATATTCCCAGCAGGTGATTTAAATTTGAAATTTTTAAAGTAGGCCACTGGCTACTGGTCCATAGGCATGATGCAGGTTAGTAACTGCATGTGAAGCTGAAGGCCATCTATCATTTTTACTGCTGCTGTCAGTCAGCTGCTTGTGCTAGAGCAAGCTGAGAAGTCAGCAATTTTTTAGAAGACCTAAAACATTTTTTCATCTCTCTCCTCATATGCTCTTGGTTTAAAGAATTCTCATCAGTTAGTGCTTTTATAGTGACTGTGGTGGAAAATCTGCTTTCTCCAACGTGTACATCTGTCACATGCATTTTACTCTTATCTAGGAACTCTGCATGTTTCTTCAAGGGGCAGTTGATATATGGCCAGTGGGTGAGGTGAGATCCACTGCAAGGCTGAGTCACAGGTCCAGCACTACCGATGCTTACATCAAAAGTGCTTCTTACAGAGAGAAGGAAGAGACTTAATCACAAATAGGAGTCATCACTTTCCTACTAATAGTCTTACTGTAGCAGATATTTAATACTTTCTACAAGGGAAAGATTTGTAATACAAAGACCAGTAGAGGCTGGAGGTGTAACTAGTGGCAGAACAGCATGACTAACAAAGTTTAATTTTCTTGCTTTAACTGTCTCAAGTGCATCAGTATCCTTATTTATGCGATACATGGATATACATAACTAGAGTGACAGAGGCTAGAAAAGAAAGCATTTTCAGATTAGGATGGAACAAGACAGAGAACTTCTGTAACTTTTTTGGTTGGAACTTATCCACACAGTCTATTCCAGCAAAAATATATTACAGTAACATCTTTAAATAGGTGACCAACTATTTTCTGCCAGAGCCAGGGTGTAAAAAGCATTGCTTTCCTCCTGACATCCCCATTCTGTGGGCTTATTAATCTTCATGTAACTTAATTGAAATAAATAGAATTTAAAAGGTACATAATGAGTTGATATAAATACTAGTCAACTCTTTTTAAAGTTTATGGAATAGATATGATCATGGGCAAAATTCTTCATATGTCAGACAATGTAATAATCACAATAGAAGAGACATTAGAAATCTAACATATCTCTGGTTTGTTTTCAGCCACTCCTTGTAAAGGACGATTTAAATTACCTTTGGAAATGATGAGCTCTGCTGAAAGGACTAACAATAATGCAGTAAATGAGAGCAGAACAAAGAATGTCTATCAAGAACTGACTGGAGTATGCATGTCGTCTGTAGCTAAGTCTTTTACTTAGAATAACATTAATTTCTATTCTAATGTGTTCCTAATCCATATTTTCAAGAGCTGGAGTTTTGCAACCAGCAACTCACTTTTAGAAAATAGTGTTTTACTTTATTGCATAATGTTTTCATGTCCTCTGGATTTTAGGTTTACTATGTCCAAAGTCAGACTGAATTCTTACCAAATTAGCTGAAATTTGGATTCACTCATCAGTTCTGACCCCAGAGTTAACTTGCTTTTACTAGAAATGCAATTCTTCCTCTGTGTGTAATATGCACAGAATCTCAAATTAATTATGCAGTGTAGAAATACACTTAGAATAGATAAGACATTCAGCTATAGTTCTGGTTTTAGTGCATTTTAGATTAGGCATTCACCTAAATCAAACAAAACTACGTAGGTGTCACTGAACTGCAGTTTGAGTATATGTATTTTTGCTTCTGTTCCAGTTGAACAAAGACTTCAGAGTAACATTTTAATTTTATTTCTGGTTTTAAATGTCTTTCTGGGTCAGGTTCAGGTCAAATCCCAGACTGTGGGGTTCTGAAGCATTTTTTGATATAGCCATGCTTTAAAAAAAAGCTTTAACATATAGAATGTGTAGTTTGTAATAATTCAAGTGTTACTTCGGAGGAGAATTTTACTTCTTTTGCTTTTATGTATTGTAATTATCAGTGTTACTTATTGTGCTTTTTAGAGTGGGCAAAGAGGTACAGTAGACAATGAATTTTGTGAAACAGAACAGAAGATCAGGAAGACAAATATCAGAAATGAGGCAAAATACCTGACAGGCTACTGGAATCAGCAATTCTATTAAATGAAAAAATAATTTCGTGGTTTATTAGAGAAAATATAAGGTTTCCAAGATTATACTCTTTATAGACCTACACTAATATTTTCTTTTGGATATTATCCCACTGCAGCGAATGTGTGCTGAAGAAGTTTTAGAAGAAATACAAGAAGCAGAAATTAAAGCCACACAAAAGCAAACTTTAGGCAAGTAATTTTACAAGTGTTGATAGTCCTTACTTTTAAAATTATTTTAATTTTGTTCATTTCTTTTGTAATAATAATAATAATACCAAATTAATGTCTCATTTAGATGAAGCATTAGATATTGTTCCTGATTCTCAGCCAGCAGGGAGAAGGAATGAACCTTTGTAAGTATTGGAAAAGAATACCAATATGAAATGCATTGATATCTACCATATATCACTACTCCTGTTTTGTGATGCACGTTCATTATAATTAAGACTCAATTTCTGCAATTCAGTGATAATAAGATGGTATATCTTTGTTAGGCTGCCTGGTTTTTTGGAGACTTCTTTTGATAAAACCAAAACATGGAAAAAAAGAGCATGCTCTGTTCCTGAGAAGAATATAACAACCGGTGACAAGCAAAAGCCAAATCCATCATTGGTACATATGTTCCATCCAGGTATGTCCACATTTTGTTAACTGTTAGTGTTAAAAATGTTTCAGATGGATTTTTAACCTACAGATGTGCTTTTTTAATTCCCCCTGTATTAGTTTCTATTGTTAGTGAAAGAGCTGTGAAACAAAAAGCGTTTATTCAATTTTTGAAGTATCTCTCCAGATAAACAAAGAAATTAAAAAACAGAAGAAAACCAAGAAAATTAAATTGATACCATGAGGGAAGAAAACTGCAAAATACTTAGTGGACAGTCAGGGTGTTAATCATTTGGAACAGAAACTGTTAAGTATAGAAGTGAAAAAATATTTAAACTACTACTGAAACATCATTTAAAACATTTCTTTCAGCTAGAGTGTCTGAAACATCTTTGCATTCTGATTTTACAAAAGAGGAACCTGATGTTCTCCTTAGAAAAGAGACTGCCAGTCCAAAGCAATCAAAGACAGTGAGAGTTTCTTACCTTCATTTCTTTGACTTGCAATTAAGAGAATTTTCAAGTTTTTAGTGTTTCAAAATTTATATTTTACTTTTTAACCACAAATTTATTTTTAATGTACTTTCCAATAATACTGAGTGAATTAAGTAATGTCAGCTTCACTGTTTACTTTTTCAGATTTTAAGACTAGTTTAGCCTGAATTTCTTTTTAAAAATCATATTTTAAAAAAAATAATTCTTAAATAAGCACCAACTTTTGCTTCTCATGCACTTCTTCATTCACTTTTAAATGTTGTAGTATACAAAAACCCAACATTTAAAAGAAAATATCTGCTAAACTGATGGTTTATAGCTCACTGTGGGGGCATGCAAGGGAAAATGGTTTTCAAAGGAGTGTGATTTAGTACATGTAGAAGACACTTAATTAAATTTAGGTAATTGTTGGGAACCTGTAGTTCTGTTTGCAGCTTTGCCCTTCTGTCAAATGGATTCAAAGTTGAGTCTTAAACTCTATTTTTATAGAACACAAAGTATAAAGAAAACACAGATGCAACAAAATCACTAATTAGTAAAATCAGTGACAGATACAAAGTAAAGACTGATGAGAAAAGCAAAGCAAGAGACTCCTTGGGTTTTAACAGGTATGATGTGAACTATTTACTTTTGTGCTTTTTGGGTTTGTGAATAAATTTGTCATGTTTGATAAGGCTTTTATTTATATAGGCAGTATTCTAATGCATAGATTCTAATTAGCATTTAACAAATTGTATCCTTATTTTTTAGGCCACATTTAAATAAATCCTGCATGTCTCAGGTAACATATTATTACTTCTGTTGGTAATTTTTTTCATGTCAGATATATGTACATATATGGTGGTAGCTAGTGAAAGGTCGTAAATATTGCTGAATGTTAAATATCTTTAGATGTTAGTGTTAATTACACATTGACTATATATACTTAAAATACTTTTTATATATTTACTTATAAAATATATATGCAGAATAACGTTTTACCGGCAACTATCAGCCAGTAAAACTAAAATTAATTTCTGTTTACATATTATGTAATTGAATCTGTTCCTTTTGAACATGGCAATGCTAAATATTTAGAATAAAACTATTATAGTAAATGAGATTATAAAATCCTTAAATGGGATAGAGCCAGGACACAGAAATTAATCTTAATGCTTGGAGGAAAAAAATTCTGTGGCTTTGTTGATATCCCTAAAGGATAAGTTCCAAAAGATTTAGTTTCCTCTAGCTCTTGTCCCCTTTCGCCAAATTCTACTCTTGCTAATCAAGTGGAAGTCTGAGGAGCTGCCAGGTTTTCTGTATGTTCGTGATGAAGAGCTTGCTTTTTGAGATGACTGTGTATGTATGCATAGTCCAAATTTGACATATGAATTAACTTTTTATTTATGTATAGGAAGCAGTTCAGGATAGAAACCTGAAAACCACTACTTTTCTTAATATAACTGCTGGTCATATTATGTAAGTAGTTAAAACATTTTCAAACAAAATTTCTACTTACTCATACCTAACTTTGTTAAATATTCATTAATTTAGTCACAAAATTGATCCCTCTTTCTTTTGACAGGGATGATGTCTACAACTTTAACATCAGTGGGTTTGATGAGCCTACAATAAAGCTTGGAGTAAGAATATAATTGAAACTGGTATCTTATGAATAGAATATGAGGGAGCTCAGTCAGTTTAAATTATGTTCCCTGAAAGTGTAGTTAGCACCTGAAAATTGAAATTATATGACTGAACTAAGTGGGGGGAAAAAGTTTGCCATGTAAATACCCCATCCCTTTGAAATGTATGATTATATACTTAATCCTAGGGTTTTGGCCACTTAAAACTATTACAATGTTCTCCTGAATTAAGACTAAAATAGTTTGTTAGGAATATCATTAATTTTAAATTTTCCTATTATCCTAAAAGCATTATTGCCATCCTTCCAATCCTCATTGCAAAGAGGATTTGCCCAGATGTTTGAGTAAAAAGAAAATCTAGCTACGATAAAAAGCAAAAGACAACCAAAAATAGTTCTTCTTATTGCTCAGAGGAGTCTGCTGAATTGGTGAAGGCAGTGAAGCAAGTGGATGGAAACTAATATATTAGTTTGAGATACTGAAAGCTTCAGTCAGTTCCAGTTGGTTTTAACTATCAGCTCTGTTCTTAAATAATTTCCAAGATAAGAATTAATCATCGTAAGTTGATTGCTGAGTATAAAAAATGAACAAAAAACCTATTAGCTGTTACTTTCTGATGGCATGCTTAATTTTGTTTAAATTGTATGACAAATTGAAACCTTCATTTGTTTCTTTTATTTATTTCCATTTTTAGGTCCAAGAATTGCATGTTACTGAACTGAGTGTTTATACAGATCCAAACAAAAAAGGGTAGGGATGTTATATTGTGTCCTAATCTGCTGATTATCATCAAGAATAGTACTGTCTGCATTCTCCAGTACCCCATTATGAAAATCCAGGGAGTGTATGCATGACAGTAATGTCTTGACTGTGTTGTTTTTTCAAGCAGTAAATATAGCTGTTGTGGCCTCATAGGCTATTTCATTATTTTACTTTGGGAAGCTGATAAAAAGGAAATAATGTGTTTCATGAAGAAAACAGCTTTATTTCTCTTCATGGAATACTACAGGGATATAAACTCCTGAACAGAGGGAGGTAGTTTTTTGTTAATGATCAGCCTGCAAAGGGATGTATTGTTACTGTGTGTTCTTACTGATCATTAGCAAATCAGCACATCCTTTAGAGTTTAAGGTGAACAGATATTTCCAAAATGGATGTGAAAACAGAAGTAGGTACATTTGTTTAAATCCTTCATCCACATATCACATGAATAGCAGAAAGATTCAGAACAAGTGTTTTTAAATGTATTGTTTAAAGGTGTTTTTTCTTTTTCTGATTAAGGAATGCGGATGATGGTAAAACTAGCGCTGAAGTAAAAGGAAGAAAAAAAGTAAGGCTCAGGTTTTTGTGGTTTTTTGTGGACAAGGTACACCTTGTCTTCCTGCCTTTAAATAACAATAAGTGAAAGGTAAATAGGTGTAAATGAAAGGTAAATTAAAAGTACATCAATAACTTAAGAACTTTTTTGTTTTTTGTAGACTAGAAACAATCAAAACAAGAAACATCTCTTTAGTGACACAGACACAGAATACAGAGGTGATGACAGCAAGACAGACATTAGTTGGCTACAAGAATCAAACAGAAAATCTAAAGCCCAGTTAATTGATTACACTAGAAATAAAAACTTGGGGAAATCAATAAGCACAGTCAAACGTAAGAAACTCTTTTCATATTTCTTAAGAATGCTGCAATGTTAGTCCATAGATATTCACTGTACAACATGTAATGTGCTGTGTTGCAGATACAATATGTTTTTGTTGTCTTATTTCCAAGCATAAGGAATTTTCACATTGGTTCTAATAATTTTTTAAAGGTTAATTTCCAAGAGGTCTGTATTTTAACATGGAAGGTTATTGGAGGGTAGGACAGGCAGAGGTTGTTGTCAACAGAAAAAACTTTGGCTTTTTAAAATAAGGTGCTGAAAGCAGTTCACTGAATCAGTAAGATTGTGGACATAAAAGTGATTGTAAGATTTTACAGGTAAAACTCTAAACGTCAACCATTTGCATATTTTGCTGATTTTTCTAACTTTATATATTGTAGCAGCAGATAAATTCTCTGAACCTGAGTGCCATGTGGATAAACCTAAAGGCAAAAAAGCAAATAAGAAAAAGGTAAATATAAATTTGCAACTAGATTTGCTATACATATTCAAAATGTCTCACCTCACTACAGAAACTGTTTTTAAATAGTTTTTCATAAATATGTACCATTTCTCCATGCTTGTTTCAAGATCATTTGCTAAATACAGTTAGTTCTTTTCAGGTACTATGGGGTTTTTTGCAGTATTTACCTAGTATTTTAGGCATAATGCTAGCTATCAGAATTATTATTATACATTGATGCTTTTCTAAGTTTTATTACTTAAAATTATTGATTATGTCTACTGTTTAATAGCCATCTACTCCAGTGAATATGCCATTACCCTTTCAGCAAGGGTTTTCTTGTGGCAATGTGCTTGATTGAACTTTAATACCATTGAGATTATCATTTCTTTAAATGAATATATGTAATATATTGTGATGATCAAGGATACTGGTTCCTGCTCACTATGCAGGCTTTTGGTTTTCTATTTCAGACCAGTTATGGTCTAATTTCAATGTGCACATATTTCAGAGAGCAAGCTTTGGAAACCCACTTCAGCTTTGCTGTAGTTCAAAAATGGCATTTATTTTGCCTCTTCACTCTTTTGACTCTTACATTCCTTACTGCACTGTGCCCTGTCTACAGTGATAATTATCTTCCCAGAATGCTTAGTAGACTGATGGTTGGACTCTCTGAGCTTTGATGAAGTTAAACTTTTTTAGTTGTTTTGAAATAATGGACTCTAAGTAATTAAACCAAGTTACCTGCCATTTATTCTTATGTATTTATTTATTTATTAATCATTCTGATATAAACTGAAGATGTTTTTATTCTTCCAAAGATAAACAAATGTGAAAAACAGAATTCAGGAACTAATAAAATGACAGAACAAAGCACCAGACAAAAACGACCTCGAAGAGCTGCATTAGCAAAAAATTACAAAGAGCCTTCCAGTTCAGAGTCAGAGTGTGAAAGGAAATCTCCAGCACGTGCATCTAAGGAGGAGAAATCAAAAGTACAGGTATAGAGTTGCACCTTATTCTTAAAAATCTGCTTCTGCAATATTTTCCAAAATAAACTCTGGTCTACTTTGTACTTCGTACTCCTGAATTTTTTAAGTGCCCAATGTGAGCAAGTTGAACTGAATTTTATATGTTATTTCTAGTAGTGCCCTTTTTTAATTATGATTATTTAGCTGCTAAGAAAGTCAGCCCTAAATAATCTGCTCATTCATAATAGTATTTCAGTTTGTATTATGAAATTTATTCTGCTACAAAAAACTAGTGTCCTTTATTTTAATGATATTTTGAAAATATTTATTAAATGGGAGTTTTTAGTGAGCCAAATTTTTGTTCTTTTAGATAATGTGATTTTGATAATGCTATGCCTATTCTGTGTACAATAGAAAATGCTGCCTTGATAGAAGGTATGCCAATACATTTGCTGAATATCCAAATAGGATTTTTAATAAATTAAACAATGATGTTGGGTGCTAAAACATGTTCATCCTTTTAGCATAACATTTCAGTGTATATGTATGGGTCTGTAAACTTTGATTAAATCCTGAAGCATTGGTAATTGCCTCCAAGAGTTAAGAAGTTCATAAGAATAGAAATTTGGGTGCTGAATTAAACAAATCCAATGGTTATTGATATTAGAACACCTGATCATAGAATCATAGAATGGTTTGGA